TACATATACCTGTGCTGTAGGTACAGGCTGACTGAGAAGGGGCTGCTCTCACTCTCTGCCCCAGCTACAGACAGGAGTCAGAAGGGCTCCTCCTGGGCCTCTGCTCTTGCGCCTGTTCGGATCTCCTGCGTTAATCAGAAGCGAGGGCTCTGACGGGCTGTTGTTTAGGCAGCCGAGCACTCTCTGCTTCAGCAGCTTCAGAGCAGGTACGAGGCTGTCAGTCAACACTCTCTCCAACAGCTGGAGCCCTCCCACACCTGCCCGCAGCCTCGAAGCACAGGAGTGCCTGCTGTCTAATTTCTCCCTGACTGAGAACTCTGAGGCCACACTCTGGAGAGCAGGGTTAAAATCTGTAAATGCTGGAGTTTACTCCTGTCTTTGAGGAAACAACTTTAACAAGGAGAAGGAGAAGGAAGGATTAGGGGTCAGAGTGCATGTGTCTGCCATATTGACAAAGCCTCAAAGCAATGGTTTGGTAAAAAAAAACAAATTTACACAGTTTCACCCTTTAGCTCAAATGTAGTCAAAAAAAAATGCAAAGGTGGCTAACATATAAGTTTATACCTTCAAATTGGTACCATGTAAATTGCATACCTAAATTATCACAAACTTAACCACAAAAGCATACAGTTTGTGAGGATGTGCACAACTACTCAAGTACTCTTAACCGTTCAAGGTGCCAGCATTCTAATACCTACATCACCATTTAAATGCTCAGCACAACAAGACAGAGAAAATATACAAACCAACAATTCAATCAAATGCTGCTTTTACATTTTAATAGGACAGTTAAATGTGAGTAAGTATGTATACTACACTTTGCTACTCTGAAACACAAGTGCCTTAACGTAAGAGCACTGCCAAGCACTGTTAAGGACAAGACTAAGAAGGCAGATGTAGCACGACTATTACTAGACTAGCAACCTGGATCTTAGCTAGATTCAGAAACAGCGGAAACTATCTCTTTAGCAAATTAACATGTTGGCACATCATCCACTGAGGAGAAATACCTTCTGTAAGATGATTTCTCATCAGTGTTCTACCAGTTAGCTGTATTTCTGAAGAGACAGCCTCTTTAGAACTACTCATCTGAAGAGGCAGCAGCTGGTACTCTTCCAACACGAAAACTACCCATTTACCTCGGGCTTTTTTTGGATAATAAAATATTTTCAACTGTATTCTTTTATAAGTATACCTTTGTTTAGTCCCTTAACAGCAGTACTATCACCTGAAAGAAGAAGCCTCCAACTCTAGCTCTACATCTATTTCGGCTTAAGTATTTGACAGTTTTTCTTGTTTTTTTCCTTCCCTGTGGTTAACTGCATATCTAAACGTTAACTGTGGCAGATACTTGAATATCAAAAGTAGTCTGAATTCACATCTCTAACAGTTTGAATGGTGCTAACCTATGGAATATAAGCCTCTATTACGTCATAGTTCCAGTGCAAAACTAGCCAACTTCAGACACCAGCAGTTCTTGGCTGACCAACTACATCAGGATTAAGGGAGAAAATTTTCACCTAATTTTCGCCAACAAGACGAGAAAGTTCCATATAGGAAGTAAAAGAAAGAGTGATGTTGCAATGCTGCACATTGCCTCACACACACAAACGCAGGCTCTTTTGTCTGGTGCCCTGGCCTCAGGGACGGACATCTCAGATAATGCCGTTGTAGTGAGCTGCCTAGCTTAACACACATTTCTCATTTCCTCACCTAAGGGCTGAGAATACAGATGGATTCGACCTGCCATATCTAATGGATCAGTCCAGCTCTGGGCAAGCTCTGACACATGCAGACATACACAGACACACACAAAAACATACTTAAAGATCCACAATACCATGAAACATGATCACTTTGCATCTCTATCATTTCCTGTTCTTAGTTTTTTAACACCATTTGAAAATGATGGCTGCTCTTTACATTCTATAAGTATTTAATGGCAAATGGCCTAACAGAAATTACCTATAATTAAATCTCTTTACATTACCTTACATTACAAGTTAAAAAAAAAAGTTTTGCCTCCTCCACTACAGTAAAAAACATGCTTTTAATAGGACAAGGATGACATTATATTGGTAGTTGTACTGGTAGGATATATATATATATATATATGTGTGTGTGTGTATGTATATATATATATATATATATATATATATGTGTGTGTGTGTATGTATATATATATATATGTGTGTGTGTGTGTGTGTGTGTGTGTATGTATGTATATATATATATATATATATATATATATATATATATATATATATATATATATATATATATATATAAAAACTTTAAAGAGTTTAAAGAGCCACTACATAATGTAAATTTTGTATACCAACTAAAGGACTTTCTTACAGCCATACGTTCAAATTTATCATAACACTGAATCGAAAAATAAAAACATACGTTACATACATGTAACATTCTGTACATCATTTTTAATAGCAATAACGTGTTGGTGGTTATTTTGAGGATTTCTATCTTTGAAAAAACTTCCTTGACAGCTCTTTGTATAACAGCACAGCAGCCATCGTTCATTCCTGGAATCCTGTTTTACTGTCAGTCTTAATTAGCATCATGCCTTTGATTTCCAACAGATTTATTTTTTCAGGCTTGGTGGTGGACAGGAGTAGCTGTGAAAATACCATGCTAATATATCACACTAAAACAGCTGTGCAAACTTTAAATAAAGCATAGGATCACAATGTTACCACAGAGCAAGAGCCCATCTAAAAAGTCTCTGCGGAAACTGCAACCTGTTAGACTAAAATGGCATGACAATATTTTGAAGTGTCCAAAATAGCAATATTGCAAGTGTTGAATACGTAGGATGCCTTTTTAATGAATATATAAATAAAATACACAAAATATTCTAATACTTATAGTTGTTTTGGAATTCTAGTGAACTGTTTTACAGTTCAGTTGCACAAAAGCAATGAAATCGCATTATTCTGTCAAACAAAGAAGAAAAATGAGACAACTTGTATTGAACGTGTCTCAGCAACTACTGAAGTTCTTGCCTATAAACACACAGGAAAAAACTATAACACTCGTGAACGCAGGTGTTAAAACGTGCGCACACAGTGCAGGCGACACTCTTACAACTTGCGAGCAAATGCTTCGTGCTATTAGCGGTGAGTGTGTGAAGGTGTGAGGAAAACAATGAGTGGAGAAAATCATTAGCGCCTATGAGAATCCGCTTTGTACACACAAATTACCGCAGTAATTAGAGACAAAACAGCACAAAAGGTTCTGGGGCTCCGAGTGCATTTTAATCTACTGGCAGAGAAGAGAGGCGATTTGCAGAATACAAATGACCTCCAAGTGTGGGGGGGACTGTCATCTGGACTCTCTCTTTCAGTGTGTGAGAGAGAAGCAGGGAGAGGAGAGTGTGTGAGAGAAAGAGTCCATTTCTCTCCCTCAACACTTCAAACACCCAGGCGTAATTACACAGTCTTTCATCAACGGGGAAAAACAACCAGACAAAAATCCTCAAAGTGGGCCACATGGGACTTTTCCTGGTGCCTTCTGGGTAATGGTGATGAAAATATGAGAATGGGCCAACAGCTAGCCCCCAACAGCTAACCACCTACATGCATGTGCATGCGTGACACACACATACACGTTCACTAGAGTGAGTCTGGTGCTTTACACACTACATCATGCCAACCTTAACAGCATTGATGTTTTCAAGCCTTTAAATCAATTAGAAACAGAGGGAGAGAAGACAAAGTTGGGAGGGGTATGCTACGTTCCCATGGCAATTCATGCACTGCCAGGCCTTTTGGGTAAGGAGGTTGCTCGTGCCTGTGGTGCAGAGTGAGAATATTCATCATCGGTTTTATTCCTGGAGAGAGCGCAGAGTACGAAAGAGAAGGAGAGAGAGGGGCAGAGAGGGGAGGAAGAGAGAGAGAGAGAGGAGTGAGAGTAAGAGAAAGAGAGAGGAGTGAGAGAGAGAGAGAGAGAGAGAGAGAGAGAAAGAGGAGTGAGAGCGAGAGAGAGAGAGAGAGAGAGAGAGGGAGTAAGAGTAAGAGAGAGGGAGGGAGAGAGAGGGAGAGAGAGAGAGAGAAAGGGGGGTAGAGAGAGGGAGAGAGAAGGGAGAAGGAGGAAAGGAGGGTTAGAGTGAGAGAGAGAAGGGGGAAAGGGGGGATAAAGAGAGAGAAATGAGGGGTGATATAGAGCGAGGGAGTGAGGGAAAGTGAGAGGGAGACAGGGTAGGACAGAGGGAGAGAGACAGGTAGTGAGAGGAAGACTGTGGGGAGAGAGAGGGAGGAAGAAGCAATTGAAAAAGATAAAGAGAGTAAGAGAAAGAGACAGTATGAGACAGAAAGTGGAAGGGAGAGAGAGTGAAGAAAGAAGAAAACAAAAAAGAGAAATGAACGAGGGAGGGAGGGAGAGAGGGTGGGTGAGTAAGAAAGTGAACAAGAGACAGGGCACGAAGGAGGGAGGGAGAGGGATAGAGAGAGAAAGAGGAAGAAGGAAAGAGACAGAGGGATGGAGAGAGACAAAGAGGGAGGAAGAGGGATAGAATGAGAGAAAGAGGGAGGGGCATAGAGAGAGAAAAAAAGGGAGGGAGCATGAGGGAGAGAAGGCGGGAGTCATGGAAGGATGGAGGCAGGGGGGAGAAGGAGAGTGTAAATGGTAGAAAGATGGAAAGAGAGGTGGAAAGCTGATAAAGGAGAGAGAGGGAGGAAGAGAGAAAGTAAGAGACAAAGAAAAACAGATAAAAAGAGAAAGAGATAAAGAACAAAGAAACTGAGTGAGAGAGCGAGAAGGAGCAAGAGAAAGAGAGACAGGGATAGAACACCTTCCTGTCTAGGACTCTCACTGTGCTGTTACTGTAAGAATGTAGGGGACACACAGAGAAAACACTTACGCTCCTTACAGGAACACACACACGTTTCTCTCTCTGCGGTGGGCTCCTCCGCACGCGCATTCACACACACAGTGTGAATTTAAGCAGGCCCCTGCGCCAGGCGAGGAGGAAATCAATTTACCTGAATGCCGTCCAGCAGCCTGCTCATGCACCAGAAGCTGTCAGCCTCGATGTTCCGCAGCACCTCCTCCTGCAAGCTGGAAACATCGAAATTTTCCACCTCTTCCTCTGCGAAAGGAGCAGAAACAATGGAGGAGGAAAAGGAAAAGAATAGGAAAGAATGAAAAAAGGAAAGAAATTGAAAGAAATAATGGGCGAGAACAGAAGAGAAAGAGTAGAGTGATTAGATGTATATCAGGGTAACATATGGTCTACCACTGCAGAATGCAACACTGTGGAAAGCATACTGTAAAGCAGGGATGCCCAACACATATTCAAATGCTTCTGAAGGCCTTCAGTAACTAAATCAGAGGTCTTAAGGTTGGAGCTAGGGCTGGAAATTTCAGCAAATTCTTTTGTATGATAAAGTCATTAGCGGTCATTATTTGTTAACCAGCAAGCCTAAAATCAAGGACACAGTCCAACAAAACACCAATTAGTAAACTGATAGCTCCAGTTCTAAAATCTGATTTCCTGAGCCATATTCAGAGCCCACTGGCTCTCGCTCTCAAAAGCCATCACCATCCACATCATCCTTCTCTATAATTTGCACACTCTTGTGCTTTTGTCACAAGGCCATGCGTCACACCTTCCCTCAGAGACCATAGACCAAATAGCTTTTCGCTTTTGATAGTTTTCCTGTTGTCTTCGCAAAAAGTGTGCCAGAACACCACTACCTTCAGCTGTGCTCTTCATTTTTCTGTAGGCCTATCCAGCAAAACCAATTGCCTACTTGTGTCCCCATGCATACAATTCTTCTTCTAGAATGATAAACTTTTCTAATCAAATAGGATTTATTGATTATTGGAAATGAAACAATTAAATTAACATTTTTTCACTAACAATACAGGTTGAACAATTATTTGTTGGTTAATAGTAAATCGATTAATCATTTATTTCTCTAGTTGGAACTAAACCGTTCAGGATGGTAGACAACCAGAATCATAGTGGGACACCACTCCTGTAAAATATCAGGCTTGTGAGACTGTGTGCGATATACCTTCATCCAATCACGTCTCCTAGTCTTCAATGAGTGCGTTTACATGCACTTAATAATCCGGTCATAAGCGGATTTCTGTAGTTATCTGATTATTCAAATGTTCATGTAAACAGCATACTCTGATTTCATAGATCGGAGTAGTGTCTAGAAATCCGATTAAGAAATCCAATAAAGACAGCTGGATTTTAAGTTACTAATCATATTTCTCAGCGCAAGTGTACTCTTACTCGGATTTCTTTAGAATTTCTCAGTCTGTGTATATGCATAAACAGACCACGGTACCGGAAACAGCAAGCATCGTTCAAGCGAGATGGCAACAAAACATTTTGGGAGTGGTGCTGAAACCAATTACATACTTGAAAAAATTTTATTTATTTTTTTATTTAAATATTCTTTATCTTCCAGATGCTGTATGGTCATTTTTTTCAGGTAAAGAGGCACGATGTTAAGGAAATAAAGGAAGAAGCCATGATTTGAGTTTTATATTACGTTTACATCATGTCTTCTGTGAGTTTATTGGCTGGATGGAAAACAGAAATCCAATTACTGCCTGACTCATGGAAACCCGGAGTTTCCCCATTATCTGATTACTCAAGTGCATGTAAATACACTGATCGGATTACTGACAAAATCTGATTCTCTGCAGTGATCGGATTATTAAGTGCATGTAAACGCACTCAATGATTGACAACCGTATTTTGATGAGGTGAAGCATGGTGGCAGGCAAATAAGAGCTGCTTGAGCACTAAACTTTTACAGACTATAAACTGTGTGCCAAGTTAGCCACTATGCTACACTTACAGTAGCCTACTATTGTTGTTCGTGCTGCCTCACGCTGGCATAGAATGTTCTAAAGCCACCCAACATATCAAAACTAGTAAAGACATAGATTCTGACATAGATTCTGAGTCACATATACTTTACTTTATGCACCTTAAAGCTAGTGTGTTATACACTTGGCAATTCCTGATACTATAACCAACGGCCTATAGTGCATGTGCCCAGTCTCAGGATAAACATTTGAAAAACCGGTTTGGCATAAATAAAACTTACACTTAGAGGTGGGCAATATGACAGTATTTTATCGTTATTGTGATTATTTTTGTTCTCATGGATGTTGTCAGTACTTAAAGAACACTGACCAACTGCATGTTTAATTGTAAAGAGATCATATTTAGTCCTGTATCACTGGATTCAGTGCAGTGCCCTGTGTGAAATGTTGAAAAATAATCATTGTATTCACAGTTTTTGAAACATTTTTCAAATGTAACACTAATAGCATGTGTCAAATGCATATCACATAGCATGATAATTCTGCATTTTATAAATATGGATACATCTGCATTAGCATCAGCATTGATATGCAAATGAAAAGAAGAAATATCACACAATGGTCCAGAATTCCTATATCAGCACATTCCCCGTCACTTTTATAGATAACAGTGTGTTTTACTCTCAGATACCACACAAGCAAGACTCAGTGGTTAGTGAACAGCTCAACACTGTTTGAGACAAGCATGTGATGATTGAGTCAAGCAGCTAACACAATGCTAATTGGAAGTTTTAAACGTGTTAGCACATCAGCCTTGTAGCTACAGGGCTGCAATATAATTTGATCTTCAAACTGCAATGTAAAACAGATCTTAGCTTACAGTTAAAACTGCTAACCTAACTGAACAACAGTTGTTTAGCTTAAGTGCATGATATGGTCAGCAATTTTAAATGTAAGCTAAGATCAATTTAGATCAATTTGGTGTTGCACCAGAAAAAAAGTAAAAAGAAAAATGGCATGAAAATATGAACAGAAAAACCAATTGAAAAGGAACTGCCACAAAGCAGAACAGAAGTGGAGGAAAACTAAACTAACTACTCAATATGAAATACTTAATTTGTATTAATATCTATAATAATGCAGTACAAACAGAGACAGAAATACTACCCAAAACTTATTAATGACAATGGAAACAACCCAAGAGTTTAATTTTCAATAACAGACCGCCTGTTAAATTCTAAATTAAACTATGATTATCTCACTGAGGCTTTGACATCAACATGTAATGATTTTGCATTGTTTTTAAATAAAAAAATCAATAACATTTGGTCACATTTTATAACTCTAAAAATATCAATAGTAGACTCTACTTTGATTCAACAGCAAAACACTCTGAATAGTTTTAAAAAGATTAATGAGACAGAACTTCAAAAAGTTGTCATGCTGCCAAATTCCTCTACCTGTGTTATAGATCCAATTCCAACAGCATTTTTAAAGAAGTATCTGACAACCTTTGTTCAAGTGTGCTGGACACTGTAAATTGAAACCGGCACTTTTCCAGACACACTTAAAACATTAAAACCGCAGTTGTAAGACCACTATTGAAGAAACACAACCTAACCTCAGTTGTTAGCAATTACAGACCAATCTCTAACCTTCCGTTTTTTAAGTAAAATAATTGACATAATAGTTTTCTCACAGCTTAACGATTTCTTAAATTTACAGAATATCCTAGTCTAGTCTGGCTGCAGAGCAGATCACAGCACTGAAACAGCATTAGTGAAGGTAGTGAATGATCTGAGAATAAATGCTGATGCAGGTGATGATTCGGTACTTATGCTTCTGGATTTAACTGCAGCATTTGATACTACAGACCCCAGAAATCCTGCGGCCTGAGAACCTGGTTGGTTTTTCTGGAACTGGTCCTCTACATATTTAACTGGAACACAGTATTTTGTAAGCATAGGTGAACATCTCTCAGGTAAACATGATATTTTCTGTGGTGTACCACAGAGCTGAGTACTTGGTCCACTTCTGCTTTCCTTATATATGCTTCATCTTCATCAGATTATTAAGAAGCATGGAATCAATTTTCATAGTTAGGCAGATGACACACAACTATATATATATATATATATATCTGTAGCTCCAGACAATGTCACTACATTAGACAAGCTGGTAATATGACTGTCCAGCATTGTTAGCTGGATGAATAGCAATTTTCTATAACTTATTGTAGACAAGACAGAAATAATTATAATTAGGAGTGAAGCAAAGAGAAACAATGCGTATGAAAGACTTGGGAATCTAGCTCTGCAAATAAAACCTGAAGTTAGGAATCCTGATGTAACTCTAGACTAAATCATATTAATAATATAACCTTTTTTTTTTCATTTAAGAAAATGAATAGCATCAGTTCGACCTTATCTCTGTCTGCAAGATGCTAATAAATTGATCCAAGTTTTTGTTTTTTCTCAACTTGACTACTGTAACGCTTTGTTCATAGGACTTCTTACAAGCACAACAAACAAAGAAGATTCTCAGAAAAAACATTTAGTTAAAAAGGGTTCAAAAGGGCCCTTCGTAACCAGTATTTAAATTCCACTTTCACCAGATTACAGGAAATGTAAATTTGTAAATTGGATGCTGTCATTACTTGTGAAGTTGTTCACACAACAAAACGACAAGGCGTCAAACACTAACGATTTCCCAGCACACAGCTTAGGTGGTTTTTCCACAAAGCCAAATAACAGACAGGTCAGAAAAAGAGTGAGGAAAAAAAAATGAAGGTGTGCAACAGCTTTGACACAGCTGACTATCAGAGGCATTAAAAACAGCGGAGGGCGATTTACGCAATTAGCAGAGCTGTGCCTCCTGCTCACTTCCGATCTGCTGGAGACGACTCAAACTGCAGCCTGCAGCAGCTGACAGGTTACTCAGGTAAAGCAGAGGCGGAGAGGAGATCTAAGAACTTCTCCCACACAGAGACAGACACACACACATGCACATGCACACTTATTATGGAAGGGGCTGCCAGCACTCCGCTGTCTCCTTGGCAACAGCAGCGGAACCTTGAGGCTCTGACAGGGCTTGAAGGCATATAGCAGAAGCACTTGCACTGCCAGCAGTCCCAGGACCGTAGTCTCAAAAAGCGCATCCCAGGCATTACACCAGTGGCTCCCTATTCTGGCCCCTACCTTGCATATTTCCCTCAGGAAGTGCTTGTGAATTCGTCAAGGTGAGTCAAAGAAGGGAAAACACCAAATTACACATGGCTGTGACTATTAATTACTTCTA